ATATAAATTGAGAAGAAGATGATAACATTGAATAACTCTCATTAAACACAAATATCAAGAGCAGCAGTTCTGAACTTGGTGACTCAAATACTTAAACGACACTAAAGATGTTACTTTTCTGTATAGATCTGTTGTCATCTCTGTAAAATATATAAATTTGAAAAGCTTATGTTAGACTTCTTTTTGCACAAATATTTTCTTTGAATCTTTTCATAGATTCAGTTTCATGGTCTGTGAGTAATATAATACCTTTGTAGTCTGTAGTATTCTGCAGTAGGCATCCAAGTATGGTTGTAAACTAATAAAAATTCGTCTCAGAAGAAGTGCTTATGAAACAAGTCATTTCTCAATCTGAATTTAAGGCTAAACGACTATAATTTATTTAACAATTTATCTAAACTTTCAAGCTCATATATTAAATTAAATCATTCTCGAAAATTTCTACTAGTTCCATTGCCATGCCTATATTTCACATATTAATATGAGAGTATCTGAATCAATTTGAATATTTTAGTGTGAATTATATTCTCTTAGCCAAGTAACTGGTTCTCATTGTTCATCATTATGTAATATAAACTCAACATTAACGTTAGCTCAATGTTTATCATTATCTCAATCAAAAATAGTATTACTTATGTCAACAAATACATCATCTTATGTCGTATTAAAATCTACACGTCGTTATTTTGATAAACACCATACAGATTTATTATTTCATGAACCAATTGTATCAATACCATCAGCTCTTTTAACATTTTATGATATAATTAATTCAACATTAGATAGACATTTGGGTATTTCAAACGATAATTTAAAAAATGAAGATTTAATACGTCGTTTATTTCGTTATGATCGTATTGAAAATTCAATGATTTTATTAGATAAATTTGAAGAAGTTATTGTTAAATATAATGATTATTATGAACATAATCTTGCATTATCATTAACAACAGAACTTAATACACTTTTTTCATTAATAACACAACATGAGTTTTTACTTTCACATTATTATCGTTCAAAACATGAATTAATGCCAAAAATTATTGGTTGGTGTGGTCATATATATATAACAGAACATTTAACACCACTTAATCATCCAATGATTGAAGAGCAATTAAATTCTGAAACATGGATACCAAAAGCTTGGTTAGCTAATCGTTTACTTCAACTTATTGATAGTTTTGATAGTGAACTTCATGTTCCACTTCATTTATGTGATCTTCGTAAGTAAAAATTATCGTTTGATATTTCTAAATGAGATAAATCGTTTCTGAGATGAATAGATTTGTCTGAAAAAAAAAATGATGATAATCTGTTTTGATTGGGTACTTTGATAGATTCATTTAGTCATATTTGTTTCATAGAAAACAAAAAGAATCGTTAAATTTTCAGCAGAGAAATATCAACTTCAAGAAGAATCGATATCTTTCCATTTCTATCGAGAACTTTTGTATGAATTGATTTAATGTGCTTCAGAAAAAGAAAATAATCATTTTCAAAAGATTATATTTGTATCTGATAAGTATTCGATTACCTCTCCTCACGCAGGATAAAAGGTCATGGCCTTTTATTACGCCTGGCAAGATCTTTCTTTTAGATGGCTTTTAATTCTGTAGGGTGGGGGGGGGGGGGGGGTTAGTTAATAATTTGCTTTGGGACTAGAGCCCGTCAGGATGTGAGCGTAGACATGTGTTCAGAACCAATACAACAGGTTATGCTATAAAAATAGCAACCGATTATGATTTTATTATAATAAAATAATCAACAGAAATTATTCTGTATCTTTCGAACGATTGTCAAATTCACGAAGAAACATTTCCAGTTGTTCGAGTGCTTTTGAGCTGATATTTTGCCCATAAGTATGATTTGAAAAGTCTTCAAAGGGTTTGTGGTCATGAGTAGTCCTTGCGGAGATTTGAATTGTTCGTTCGAGTACTTTCCATGTACATGAAAGTAATTGCAATTGATTTTTGATGACTATTAAAATTTAGAAGACTGTAAATCGTTTTGAGAGTGAACTTAATAGTAACTAGCTTGTACATGACTTTCCAACATTTTTTCTGTAGTAACATTGCCATTAGAATAAACACTATTCAGCAGTACGATAAATACTTGTATTCTGCGAGAAAATCATTGTGAAATTTCATCCTGAAAAAGATTTACAGTCTCCTACATTTTTATAGTCATCAAAGAGCATTTTCTATTACTTTCATCTGCATGGAAAATGCTCGAATAATTTCNACGGTTATCATCACCGTTGCATCCCTAGTGGAGTAAGGTTGGAGTACGACTGGAGTAGAGTGGAGTATGACTGGAGTACGAATGGAGTATCGGTGGAGTATCAGTGGAGTAGAGTGGAGTACCGGTGGAGTATGAGTGGAGTACCGGTGGAGTAGTGTGGAGTATCGGTGGAGTATGCACTCCTGGAGTATCGCCTTTTCCCCCTTGAAGTAATTGCAATTGATTTTTGATAACTATTAAAATTTAGAAGACTGTAAATCGTTTCGAGAGTGAACTTAATAGTAACTAGCTTATACTTGACTTTCCAACATTTTTTCTGTAGTAACATTGCCATTAGAATAAACACTATTCAGCAGTACGATAAATACTTGTATTCTGCGAGAAAATCATTGTGAAATTTCATCCTGAAAAAGATTTACAGTCTCCTACATTTTTATAGTCATCAAAGAGCATTTTCTATTACTTTCATCTGCATGGAAAATGCTCGAATAATTTCAAACTCGGTATAGAATACCCATGGGAAAGGTATCAGTTCAAATAAACATGAACATGAAGCAATATTTTCTCATCAGATTAACAAGTTTCCTTGAAATGAAAATCAATTTATTTAATTTATTGCTAAAACTCTTTTCTGATCTAACGTTTGCGTTTTTTTTTTCGTTTTTTTTAGAATTATCTAATTTTGGTATAAACGAAAATGGTAATGTTAAAGTACTTGATTTAGATATGGCTTATTTTGATCGTTTAATTCCATTAAATCCTGCAGCTAAGTGTCGCAAGCATTCTGATTGCTCATTTTTTGATTGTTCAGGTTATTGTGATAAACGTAAACATCGATGTCATGTTAATCGTCGTATAAATAACAATTTACAAGTACTATGTGAGAAAATTCTTTTAAATTTATTAAAATCTAATGCAATTCCATTACGACTACATGATGTACTTTTATCTTATGTTAAACAATGTTCATCACCATTAGGTCGTTATAAACGATCGAAAGAATTAAAAGTTGCTGCACCATCACGTTTACTTCGTTTAATGCAAGTTATGCTTATTGGTGAATTAAGATCTGCTAATATAACTTCATATTTAGTTTAAATATACAAAACAAAATGATACAATAGAATGTTTTTCTTTCTTTTTCTTTTTTTCGTAGTGCAATTAAAATTAGATTTATTAATTATATATGAGAATTTCTTTTTTTGTTTCTACAGTCATCGATAAATCATTCCATGTTTTTTTCCCCGTCAGATAAATTGTATACATTCCATCTTTTTAGATAAGAAAATCTAATGGCCGATGAAGGTGGAGATCGATTTGAAATCGAACGTATTATTGATAAACGTTATCGAAATGATCGTGTAGAATATCTTATTAAGTGGCGAGGTTATCCAGAGAGTCAAAATACATGGGAACCTTGTAAGTAAACAAAAACAATGTAATGCATCAATTTTTAATTTATTATTTATTCTTTAAATAGCAAGTAATATTGAAGGTGATGAAGAATCAGAATTACTTGCTGAATATGAATCATATAATAAACGTCAACAACAACAAAAATTTAATTCAGGAACACGACCATCAATGAATACTCTATCACCAAATAAACGTCGACATGTAATATTATAAAAACAAAAAAGAAAACGAAAATTAATTGTTTTTATTTAGGATGAAATGGTGAATAATAATTTAAAAAAACGACCCTTAACAACAGGTAATATGCAATCATCAAATACTCCGACTGGTTTTGAACGTGGATTTGAAGCTGAAAAAGTCTTAGGTGCAACAGATTCCGCTGGTGAACTCATGTTACTGGTTAAATGGCGCCATTCAAATGAAGCTGATCTTGTACCAGCACGTATTGTAAATGTAAAATGTCCAGCACTTGTTATAGATTTCTATGAACAACATTCATTTTGGACTCGATTACCAAAATTAAGTCAAACTAGTGGATCTACAGCACGATGAATTTAACTTTAATATACGTTTTTTTTGTAAATTTATGTTTGTGTTTCAATGAAAGAAGAAAACAAAAAGAGCGAGAAGTAAATGATACTGGTCATAATTTATCAAAAATATGTTTTGTCTATTTTTGAGTTTTTATTATCTGCAACAAATGCTTACTTATGATAAAGATACTAAGTAAATATATATATATATTTAATCTGTCTTTGGTTAAAATAAAAAAAATATATAATCTGACAGAAAAATATTGACATGTTTTTTTTTTCATTAAGTAATAAATTTCTCATTTGAAAAAAGGACATAATATTGATGATAAAGACCAGATGTTGAAAAAATAAAAATCATTTGTATGAGATTTGACATGCTTGGATTAAATAGAAGATTACTCATTGAGAGTCACGTATTTGGTTGTTTTTCTTGCTGCCTATATTTGCTATTTTCAATGGATGTGTTTGACTCATTTTTAAGAAGTTTTTTTTTTGCTTGAAAAAGTACATCACCTTGAATAATTATCCATGCACATTGACGGGGTCATAGAACTCATAAAATAATTTCTTCTATCGTTTCTACAATTTACTTCAAAATAAATTCAGTCAAACACTTTTTCTTCCTTTCATTTTCTTTTTTCGATGGCATAATAACGGGTTACGCCTGTCGTTTTTTTTTTCCAATTTCGAACAGTTTACTTGCTTCAGAAGAGAAAAAGAAATAAAGAATACACTTTCGACCTTTGAGTGATTAATAGAAGGCCATATAACATTCAACACAATCGTCGTTTGTTTTAACAAAAAATAATGGCTGCTGGTAGTACCAATAATCCTTCATCAGAAATCAATGTGGTCATTATTGGAGAAACAGGCACTGGTAAGAATTAAACTATAGAAGATATATTTCAAAGATCTTAAATCGATATTTTTTATTCGAACACATTCTCTCTTATCATTATTGACTATTAAAACAATAAATTTTGAAGAACTCCCATTGTGATCATAAATTTTCTTATTAGATTAGTATCTTTCAACTTTAACTACTAGTTATAATCTAGGCATTGTATGAAAAATGTAAAGATGCTGCCATTAATTCTTTGGTTTTATTAGTAATCGACCTGTCTAATGAAATAAAAAGAACCTTGCAAAAAAATCGTATTATGTTGATTCATTATTTATAGTACAAGTCATGACTTCCACTACTTCACATTTTGTTTTAATTTCTTTCAGAACTAATAGTGCATATATATAAGTTCTATTTTTGTTATGATTCATAAGGTTGTCTTAAATAGAAACATAGACAAGTTCGAGATAAAAAGAAAGTTGAAATGTTAAATATTTTTAGGTAAATCAACATTTATTAATTATTTAACAAATCTATTTTATAATGGTTCATTAACAAATCTTAAAGTAGCTATACCAACACGTTATTTAAAAGCTAACATGCCATCTATCATACCTCAACATCATGAAGCCTGTTTAAATGATGTTACACGTAGTAAAACAGGTAAATGTACAAAATATACATTTACTGTTGAACAAGTTCATTTTAATTTTTTTGATACACCTGGTATAAATGATACGGGTGGTTATCTATCTGATAATGAAAATGTTGATCGAATATTTGAGTGCATTCAAACATTACAACATATAACAGCTCTTGTACTTGTTCTAAATGGTACACAAGCACGTTTAACAGTTAATATACGAAATGTTCTTGAACGTTTTCGTGATCGTATACCTGATATAATTTATAGAAATGTAATTGTTATATTAACAAATTGTGCACCACATACAGTTAATTTTGGTTCAGTTAAATTATTAAATCATGCACCCATATTTCATATGCAAAATTCAGCATTCTCATCTGATGCTCAAGCATGGACATCTCAAACACGTGAAATATTACAACGTGATTGGAGTGTATCAATGCAAACAATGAATGATTTTATTAAAACTTTATTAACATTAACAGCTATTTCAACAGAATCGTTATCAGCAATGAATGACGATCGAAATGCTATACGTAGTGTTTTACATGAAAGTCGTCTTATGATTATGGAATTACAACATATTGAAGATGAATTAACTGCGCTTGAACAGGCATCAAATATTTATTCAGCTAATATTGAAAAATATGCATCGACTAGCGGTCAACCAACAAAATCGATTCAGGCAAGTAAATAAATAAAGACGATGGATACCCCATCGGTCGGTTACCTTGTGGTATAGAATACAGCCAGAAGATAGTTTCTTTAGTCCGATATCTTTCTTACAGCTGTTACTAACTGTAACGCTGGATAGAAAGCCAGTCTGACTCAAAATCTTTTTATTCAATTACTTCAGTTCCCCATACACACTAGCTAACTACATATATTAGTCACAAGAGTCAATGTAGTCAGTGTAATATCGAACGGATAATCTGAGGCAAACAACTATTCACATCTTGTTCAGAATCATTTCATGATTGGCAATGCCAAGATTCAAACATAGAGCTTTAGAAATATTCATGAGGTACCGTCATCACTCAACTATAACGATTCAATAACTAAAATAAGAAATGATAATAATACTCATATTTTCAAATTTAATATAAAAACTTATTCTAGGTCAATGAAATAACTATAACATCATATCACAATACAATATGTTCAAAATGTAATACAGTTTGTCATGAACGATGTTCATTAACAGAAACAACACGAGTTGGTGAACGCGTTTTGCGACGTTGTACAGTTATTGTTAATGGTCGATGTACAGTATGTGTTGGTAAATGTTCTTATGATATACATTATCATGACAGACGTCTTATTAAAAGTGTTCCAAGAACATTAAAAGTAGCTATATCATCCATGGCAAATAAATATACCGAAGCACGAAAAGATAAAGCAGCTTGTGAAACAAAATGTGAAACTGTTCAAGAAACAAAACGTGTCATTGAACAATCATTACAAGAACAATTTATTAAAGTACGTGATGCATGCTTACGTGTAAAAAGTAATTGTCAAGGCTTTAATGTAGCTGAAGAATTATGTATGTTTGTTAATTTTCTTAAAAATGATATGAGCTCATTACGATCACCATCAATTACGAGAAAAGCAGCAAAATTTGTTGAAAAACTTGAAGCACTTGCAGATGATTTGCAATATGATGATTCTTTAATATCTATAATTGAACCACCGTCAACATTAGGAATGCATCCACCAATGTCACCTCCACTTGCTGCTAAACGAAAAACTGCCAATAATAATAATAAACAAGCTTTAAAAGCATCACAACTACAACCAACATCAACAGGAGTGAGTAGCATAAAGATTATCTAAAATTGGTTAATAGATTTTTATTTATAATCTAATAATAGAATGATGATTTGATTTTAATTAATCCATCACCTACTTCATCTTTAATCGCACAAGTTGATCATATTCTAAATGGTTCATTTAGTTCATTAAATGTTATTGGCGATATTCCATCAGCTGAAGATGATGAACAACGAAAGAAAAAAGTATCAACAGTTGCTATATCGGATTCATTTCTTCGTAGTCAATCTATTCAACAGCAGCAACCACCATCGGATTCAAACAATAGTCGTAATTATGCTGAATATTCAACTGAACGTCTTGTTGTTTTAAGTCGTGAATCAACTGAAGAATATAAATTAATTGCAAAAGAATTGAATCGACGATGTGGTGGTACATCCATTGGTTATTTAACACCTGCACAATTATCTATATTATGTGAATATTATGCATCATCTCGAATGTTACAATTGGATGAACTTATTCGTGTTCATTCACAACTTCAATTAGATATACAACAATTAACTGATCATGATCCATTCGAAATACTTTCTGTACCAACAGAAAAATTATTACATTTAGCTGCTGTTTCACTTTGTTTACAAAATGCTAATAAATACCAATAAGGGTTCATATTGTGTTTTTCTGTGTTTTTTTTCTTTTATATTTTAGATTATCGTTTTACCTTATATGCAAACTTCATGACAAGTAATCCTATAATGGCAGCTGCACATCAAGTAAAAGAAACAATATCGGATGCAATGAGTCGTCTTGGTGTTGGTGGTAATCAATATACAATGAAGAATAATGAGAATAATGATACACGTCATCTATCACTTGATACATCGAATATAGCGAAAGTATTAGTGATCGGTGAAACAGGCAGTGGTAAATCAACATTTATAAATTATTTAACAAATTATTTTCGTGGTGGTTCATTACAAAATATAAAAGTTGCTATACCATCAAAATTTCATCCAACTATTACAGAACAATTTTCACATTGTGAAAATAATATAAGAGATACTACACAATCAAAAACGGATATGTGTAATCAATACATTTTTGTTGATACTGCAAGTCCTGCTCAAAAACAATATATCTTTCTTGATACACCTGGTCTATCGGATACAAGAGGAGCTGAGCAAGATAACATCAATATGAACAAAATTATCGATGGAGTAAGTTTTATATTAAATCAAAACATAGTATCACTTACTATTATGCTATTGTAGGTTGAATCATTAGGTGGTCTATCAGCAGTGATCATTGTTGTCAATGGTACAACGGGACGTCTTACATTGAATCTTCGTAATGTGATTGCACGTCTTCGTGGTAATTTACCTGATGTTGTCATGGATAATGTTATTGTTGTTTTGACTAATGCTAAACGACATGAAGCTAATTTCAATATATCATCTCTTCAATTGCATGGTACTGTTTATCCATATTATATGCAAAATTCAGCTTTTTCACAAGATTCAAATACATGGGATCAAGCAGCACTTGATGCATTACAATTTGATTGGGATGCATCAATGGATGAATTAAAACGAATGATTGAAACAATCGACACATTTAAAATAAAATCTGTTACAGCATTTAAAGATATGAAAGATATACGTAATGCAATAAAAGCATTAATGCATGAAGCACGATTAGAAGTTTCACATATACAAAAAATGCAAGATGAATTAGCTGCATTTGAACATGCACTTAAACAATACAAAACTGATGAAGTAACATATAAAGATTATACACGTGAACGAGTCGTTGAAACAAAAGAATTAGTTGATACAAAATATCACTCAAGTATGTATATGAGTGTGAATCATTCAGTCCACACACTTTATAAATGTTCATTTTAATAAAATGAATTGAATTCATATACGGTGTATACCAAAATTATTCAACATGGTTTGTTTGCACTTTTTTTTCATTGTCTTAACTTTGAAAAAGAATTCAAATAGTGGCTCACGCAGAGACAATTGTTTCCAACAAGATTTTTAGAATATAATAATTATTTCTAATAGATTCTAAAAGGTAGGATCTCCAGAAAATCCCAAACCAACTTTTGCAGCATACAGAACACATAAATATAATTTTGTTTGAACTACATAGGTTGCCAAAGCAAACGATTTTCTACAAAATGTGATGCCTTCGAATTCTCTACGATACTTTTGACTGTGATACAGTCATTTGATTGAAGGTTCAAACATGTATTTTCTATAGGAAAGAATAGAAAACGATTTTTGAGGTTTTCATAACATTGCTGCATCTCAGCCAAAAAGTATCAAAGAGAACTTGAAGACATCTCATTTTGCAAGGAATTGGTTGTTCTATCATTCTAAGTATTTTAAACCAAATTATATCTACGTACTCCGTGTGCTGAAAATCTAGGACTGGGGTTTTTTGAAGACCTTATCTTTGAGAATGTGATAATAGTTATTATTCTCTTAAAATGTTGTTTAATACAATTTTCTCTATTTGAATAAGTATTTCTAGTTTTTCTAATACTTCAGACAACGGGAAAAAAGTTGAAAATAACCCCTGTTAAATAATTTTGATACTCACTATACGTACCATTACGGTATTGTATTTTATTTTTATAATAGCTGTATGTCGTAAATGTGATCATGTTTGTCATGATAAATGTGGTCTTCATGAAACAACCACACACGGAAATCGTATATTTCAACGATGTTGGGCTATGTCATCTGAAGGTCAATGTTTTATATGTCCAGGCCATTGCCTTTATACAGAGCATTATCATGCACGTAAAACAATGAAAGTCAAACAACAAAAATTACAAGATGTACTTCATGATATAAAAGCAAAATATGATTTAGCAACACGTAATAAAGCTGATTTTCAATCACGTATAACAACAACACAAGATGCAAAAAACATGTTACAACGTGCATTAAAACAAAAATTAGAAGAAATAAAACATAAATGTGCTGAATTAAGACGAATATGTAGTGGTTTTAATTTAGCTCAAGAATTACATGCACTTATTGATCAACTTAAAGCTGAAGCAGTTATGTTAAGAAATATTGAAGCTAAACAACAAGCTGAAGAATTTATTCGTAGTTTAAGTGAATTTTGTCGACAATTAGAAGCTGATCAAGTCGCAAAACAAGTTTTACCACCAATGCGTCTTGTTGATACATATACATCAAAACCATTTCGTTCATCAACATCATCAACAACAACAACAGCACCTCCATCTCAAATATCACCATCAGAAAATACACCAAATTTAAATACAAGTGTACTTGATTTAATAACGAGGTTAAATAAACCTAAAAAACCATTACCACCAACATCTGATGAAGATGATGATGATAATGATGAAAATAGTGAAAATGATGATGATTATGAAAATACACGTGAAATACCATCAGCATCATCACGTTCTAGTCGTCATCTTCATCAAACAGATAATGATAATAATCATGATGATGAAATTGGTTTAATACATGATAGACGAAAACGACGTCAATTACCACTAAATAATAATAATAATAGTAATAATAATAATACTAATACTAATACTAATTCTTTACAACAACAATATGCTATATTAACTACAACAGAACTTGTTCAACGATATACAGATTGTAAAGATGCACGAAAATCAAATGCAATCTTAATTGAACTTAATCGTCGTTCACAAGGTAAATCAACAGGTCCACTTGTTTCACCAACTGATATTGGTACATTTGCACGTTATACACAATTATATGGTTCACAAGATGCACCAACATTAAGTCATTTATATTTACAACTTCAACAAAGAATTTCAAATATGACTGAACCTGATATACTTAATATTATCCGTGTACCTGGTGATCTTTTACTTGAAATTTCTGCAATTTATACACTTATTGCACAAAAAAATCAACAACAACAACAAGGACAAAATGCTGATGGAAATTTTGCTAATGAATCTGCATTTGAACGACCACCAGATCATATAGCATCTTCAATGATGATGAAAATGTCAACACCAACTTCTCAAACATCTATGGGATATTTTTCACCACCTGCTAGTCATCACCCAGGTGGAGCAACAATAACAACACCAACATCACCTAATACCTTTTTTAAACCTATCCAACCAACAAATATGAATAATGTTAATATTCAACCAGCTGCTTTACAAACACCAATATTTTCTTTACTAACATCTTCGACACAACAACAGCAACAGCACCAACAACAGCAACAACAACAACAATCACCACAACAACAACAGTCTTCTCTATCATTTGCAGGTTTTACAGGTATGATTTAGTGTTTTGAAAGGATACAACTTCGCACAACCGGACCCGTACCAGAGCTAATCGACATCCTGGAGATACTTTTATAGTCATAGTACAGTTCTCAAACATTTATTTAATATGAAAAAGTATACTATTTAATAGTTTCTTACATANCATCAACATCCTCTTGACTATATTTTGGTATAGAGTGTTTACAATTCTTTTCTGTTGTAGACAGACATATCGACTTTCTCTAATCTAACCAGGTATAATATTTCATTTTCTAAATTGAATATAATAACATGATATAAGAGAAACGTTGTTTATTCTTATGTGTTCTATTCTTAAAGATAAATAAAATATAAATTAGTCTTTAGATTATAGAATTATGATATTTGAGAATATATATTCTTCTATCCAGTACAAATTTAATTTTCTTTTTTCAGAAAGTTTCGTAGAAATTTCCAAATGCATTTTGATTTCTATTAAAATTCATTGCTGAAACTGATTCTAAAAGATTCGTTTTTTTTTTATATAGTTATCTGTCTTACGTTCATGTTATTTTTGATTACTTTTTGTTTTAAACACTTCGATGAGCAGCTCTATAAAGTACAATACGTTTTATTTAACAACAGAATAATATTATCAGTCACTTTCTTTTTAATGTTTAAATCTTCTATTTCGAAGAATTTGATATGATACGTCTTCTTACTTAGGCTACATAATTTTATCATAATCGATGTAAACTTACGAAGAAAATCACTCGACATGGTTCATTATATTTGAGCTCATACTTAGGATATCTAGAAAGAATTTCTAGACTAGAATTATTTCACAGTAATTAAGCTCTATAATCATCTGCTAGAATCTAACAATAGTTGTGCTAGATTTTTACCATAGAATAACGTATTAGCAAGAAAATTGAATACAAGATTTTTTGACTTGGATAGCTTTTTATGAAGTAGGTCAGACCAGCTAAAGAATCTTCTCAATTTCAATAAATACGATGAATTTTGTTTAAAATTTTCCATTTTCAAGTAGTTCTTAATTTTTGTGACCGTTTTTGAAATCAACGTAGTTTTCGAACATTAAATACCCCAACAATAAAACAATCTTTTTGATAGAGAATTATTCGAACAATTTATTGACAAAATTTTCGGTCAAAAATGCTTTACTGACGTATCTTACCAATATGTAATCCAATGGATAAAAACCAAACAAAACTGTCGTGACTTTGTGAAAGAAGAACTACGAATTCGAATAACTTTTCCGTTATTGTGTAGTCTAGAGATCCTCTGTATATCAAAAACATGAACTGAAAAAAAACTAAATCACTTCCAACGACTACTTCCTTAGATAAATAAAACTTTATCTTATTATTTTTGTATTACCAAACAATAAAAACATGTGTTGATTAAATATAACATACTCTTTTATATAAAATTCTGCGGCCGATTCTTTGAAAACAAGAATAAGAAAGAAATTGATCAAAATATTCGGAAAATAGAAAGATTACTAATTTTTATGTAATATCTAGAAAAAATATTTATGGATTCCAAATCATATGAAAAAAGGGTTAACGACATACAGCTATTTTGAATGCTTATTTTTGCTTGAAGTTTTTTAATCTGCATAAGTAGAACTTTAAATAACTTATTCCTCTGTGTTTATCAGTAAGAGCTGAATGACAATATACTATGAGTATTTTCGATACTTTTCTTTATTTTTATACGCAAATTCGTATTCTATTCTTATCCAAAGATTTTCTAATCAAATTTCTATAAAAGAAAACATGGTAATGAAGAAATTTGATTACTCGTGCCCTTCTAGACGTTTTATAAATATAATAAGACGACAAATTGAAAGTATTTTTATTTTCTAATCTTTTTTATGCTAACAATTTTTTACAACAGATTTCTCTAAGCCATTTGTGTCAGAATGCCTTAACCCTTTGACGGCGGACTTATTTTTATAGCAAATAACGTAAAAAATCTCTTGTTAACATGGTATACTTTGAATATTATTGACAACCATAATTCTTACACTTAAACTTGATTTAAAGAAGTATTGCTGTTATCAGTGGCATCTACGTCTGAACGCAACAAGTATTGAAAAGACTTATTTTACTATATTTCGGCTTTGTCGTCAAAGAGTTAAGAGATATACGTAACGAACTTATTATAAATCACAAAAGACCATGAAAGCAAATCAAAAAGCATAAATTATATAATATGTTTAACTTGCGTTCACTTTATAGTTAGAATGCCTCGAAAGATTAGCAATTTGAAAGAAGAACTTTATATTAAAAATTTGATCATTTTTTAGTCGAAGGAAACAAAAATATCGAAATCTATAATAGAAAAAATTCTTATTACACTTCTTCTAAATTCATCTCTAATATATATATATAAAGAACTACTGGCAAAAATCAAATCAAGTTTTTATTATTATTTATATATCATATCTGTAACTCAAGACGTTCACTGAAAACGATTTCTCAATTAATTTACATTAACAAATACATTGTTCTAGACGTAACATTGAACACGATGGTGTTGAATTCTGTAAATAATTAAGCAAATTATTGAAATAGAATGTCGGAATTATTGTAACACGAAGTGACAATGTAATTAAGACACACTCTATTTCATGATAATAAAAATACTGTTTAATATATCGCTTGCTATTTTTATAATTAAATTCATATCATTACCATTTCATTATTGATATCATAATAGAAAGTATTAGATTGTTTTGTGTCAGTACATTTTTCTATTTAATAATGTTGAGAAAAAGGACTCACACAAAAGCTATAAGAAGATATTGAGACGTGTCTGCTGTATTGAATTGTTTCTGTTGCTGATTGTTCGCTCATGATTTTTCTAAATTAAAAAAACGTCAGCTTATTTGTATATGACAAATCCAAAAGTCGTTATATTTAATAAATATATTATTCATCATATTATCTTAGCTGTTTATGCTGAATAAAGTTTCTTTAACTGTCAAGATTTCTCAGCAGATTATTGAATGCTATAATAACAATAATTTATTCTAAATTTCGAACAATCTCGTTTCTACAAATAAATCTCTTTTTTTTTCAATTTATTAACACACAAGCTTTTCAAGTTTTGCTAAATAAATCTGGATTGAGATTTGATAGATATCAAATTAGATCTATATTGTGTTCATTATAGCAAAAAATTGCTTATCTTTCTTAGACAAAATTCATATAGTTCAATCACTTATAATAATTTAATCTCTTAAAGATTATTCTGAAATCTTGTATTAATTAACAATTGCTTGAAAAAAAACGCTTGTGTATAATTTTATCTTAAAATATGTGCACTATTGGTATATTCTATGTAATTTCCTAAGTTTTTTTTTAAATATTACGATCATTTCTTTCAAGTGATATAATGAAATAAGTTTGAAGCTCTTGTAGAAAAATCTGACAATGTTATTAGGTATATGTTTAACAAAACTATCTGTTTTTGGCATATTGACTAATGGAAAACATTAATCGTCTTCTTTCTTTTATGTTTTGTTTTTTAGTGAATATACTTTAAGATGTATTCTAGTCGATTCAAAATTAATCGTATATAATCATGGTATATAAAATGGCAATATCCAATCAAATAAAATTAGGACTATTTATTCCATTTCAAATTCCATCAATAATCTGTCACATATTTTTAATTTATCATCTCATATTTAATCGACAACTACGGCAAGCTTTACATAATCATGTTATACTTACTTTTTTAATAACCAATTATTTATTAATAACCATTGACCTATCAATGGCATATTATTTTCTTAATCATGATCCTATCAAAGAAAATAGTGGAAATTTTTGCCTAGCATGGAATTTTATTGATTCATTTTTATCAAGTTTATCAATATTTTTAATGATGTGGGCATCATTTGAACGTCATTTATTTATTTTTTATGATCGTCAAATATTCAATAACAAGTTAAAACGTTTTATCTTTCATTATATACCAATAATAATATTAATTATTTATACATTTATTTTCTATTTTATTGCTATTTATATTAGTCCATATTGTTCAAATAGTGAACATTTTGATTTTAATGAAGTATTTTGTGATCGATCATGTTACATACATCATGTTATAATTTTATCATCAATAGATTTAATAATCCATAAAGTATTCTGTTCAATACTTATATTTTCTCTTAATTTATTTTTATTGATACGTATTTTTTATGAAAAAAGACAACGTAATCAAATTATAAGATGGCGTAGACATAAAAGAATGACAATACAAATTTTATCTATATCAACACTATACTTTATTGGAACATTACCAAGCGCAATCTCAGAGTCATTGCATGTATTTGTAGATGGTGATTATAATGACGAAGAATTTATGATACAACGAGAAGTCTTTTTATATCTGTTTTATCTTACTTCTTTAATTATACCTTTTATTTGTTTGATGAGTTTTCCAGAAATTTATCAAAAATTACGTTTTCTACCTTGTTCAAAACGACCACCAAATATCGTATTTAAAATAGCATATTCAGCACATCGAAACCAAGTAGACATTCCTGTTTTAAATAGAAAAAGAGCAACAATGGAGCCAGCGTGATATTTACTCGAACTAGTGAACTCTTTATATCATTTTATTTTTATTATAAAATAAAAATGAAATTTTCTTTATGTGTAAACTTGAATATTTATTAATTGTTTGTTGTGTTAAATTGATTCATTTCTTTATTCATGCAATATAAAATTACAATATTCTAAAAAAATAATTTTTTAAAGATAAACAGTTTGGGTAATTAACGACTTCTATCATATTTAATTAATATTTCGATACAAAAGAACTTTTATCGATTTAGGGTTAGATGAAAAAAAGGACTTTAGTCTTCTCGAGTAAAAATAATCAACATGTATCTTCTGCCCAATATGTCTGTAGAATAGGACCAAAAAAGATGTTTTCATTTTGTTCTATATGGAGGCAAGGTAAGAAAGAATTGTCAGCAAAGCAATTGTAGAGGATCTCATCATACCCTTCCAATGTCAAATACCATTCGTCTTGGTTGTAAAATAATTGTTCTCTTCTTTTGACAAATAAAAAAACATGTTACACTATTTTGCCAGACAGCATGGACATGTACAGCTAGCTTTATTTTTTTTCAAAAGCAAATTCAAATAGATAGAAAAGCCGTCATCCATAAAATATGTCCAGCTTTTTCTTAATCAATTTCGATGGTTTACTTTTCTTGACAGGTTTTCCCTGCTGAAAACTCTCATGGGTGTCCTTTTTCATTAATGCTTCTTCTCTCTCATAGGTGTTAGTTCTTTAAAAATAATTTCTACAAGTAGCGAAAAGAAAAAATGAATGAATGAAGCAATAATATAATGTTATTTGTACCATTTGGATTTATTTATTTTTTATGAGAACTACTGTCTAATCCTGCTTGTATGATGATATAAAATAAATAAAAACGATGTATTTATGTGAATGAATGAAAAATTTCTACTCTTGCAAACTTAATTGTACAATATCATTAGAGTAATGTATATGCTCTACAAGTCACCCATCCTGTCCCGTCCTGAAATTCAAGATCGGACAGAATAGGACACGAACTTTCGAAAATATATTCATTTTCTATGCGCAAAACCGAAGATAAGTTTATAGGAATTTTATTGAATTTAATTACAATATAGCTTTTATACATAGAGATGAAGATTAATTTTAATAATTAATAAAAGTGTAATATGTATTGAAGAGACATTTAATTTAGGAATGGCTTACTAATTATAAACACTCATCAGTATATGTCAATAATTAAAATTCATATTCTCCTATAATAATTTGAAGATTCCTTGTAAAATTTTTTTAGCCATCATCATTGGTAAGGATGATGCTATTATTTGGAATGACTATAGAAAGAAGAACGAAAATCTTTCTATTTTTATATTGTTCTTATAATATTATTTGTTTCTTTTCCTTAAGTTTCAAAATTAGGCGTTTAAATCTCAGCATTGTTTGAATCCGAGTCAACTCTACTGAAATTAACACCATGTTTGTCGATACTCTTTCATAGTAAAAATACCAGTAGTAAAATGATAGAGAGAGTATTTCGTTGAGAATATTTCAATTTTTAATAAAATTATTAAAAAACTTTGTTCTATCTATTACTTGAAGATTGATCACGTGCTCTTGATAATCAATCTTACATCAACGAAAGCATTATTTGAAAATAGGTTTTAATTCGTCGTACACTTTCATAGGTAACTTTAGAAAAAGAATATGATATTAAAGATTGAATAACTGCGATCGTAGATTGTCAAGATTAACACAAAATTGTTAAATAGATTTTACATATTTGTTTATACAAATCCACTTCTGCTGACTAATCTATCTTAGGAAACAGACGAAAACTATAAATTAAAATACATTTTGTATGCAGAATAGTTAATTGATAAAAAATCAACCACACCGAGGTTCATGATTGCAAACGACCGTACACAAATGCTTACGTTACTGGAAACAGTACTGAAAGCTACAATTATGATCGAACATAGGCTGTAAATCATCCATTTGGTAGAAATAGTGTTACAGTCGTATGACGTTTTGTTATAAACAGTGAAATACACGTCTGTTACACTGATATCTGTACTACAATACAGTCATATTCTTAACGTAGTGCTCAACACGATAGACCTGCTAACACTATCCACGTATGTTTGCAGGAAATAGTATCTTATTTAAAGAGACAAAACTGGACAATATAAGCGCGAACAATTTGAACTCTAAGCTTCGTAAATCAGTTGCACTAACCGTAGATGACATTAGTAAAGTATAAGCAGCATCAAGAATGCATTTGATGAAATTATTACAATCTGAATCATTGACGATTTCAAATCTTCTACCATCAAGAACAAGAAACTCTGTCAATGCATTTGTAATTTTATGTTTCAGTTTAAGAGGGATATAATTTGATTTATTTTTTGTTGAATTAAAATTTTTTATTATTCGGGTTTCATTTTGTTCGGTAAATTGATTAGAAATTTTATGATATGAGTCTAGATGTTTTTGCGTATTACCAGTACCATTAGCTGCTTTCTAAGAGGTGAATGATTTGGGTGAATCACAAAATAACATAATATTGCTTGATTTTTTGAAAATTAATGATACTGAAGTAAATCCAAAATTGAACATACTATCCTTCTATTTTAGTTTTTGAGAAATTCCAGAAGAGTCATTGCTTGAAGTTAAATGTAACGAATTCTCTTTGGAGTCTTTTTTTTGTAGTATGATTAAATTCTCCATTGAACCTTATAATTAAGTATATTTTGTTGTTTTCTGACCACAAATTTTCTTTCTTGTTTTATTACATTCAATAGTCAGCATCTCATTATTTCTACCAATGAAGAATATTTATTTAATAGTTCTATCTATATAATATATATGCACATAGACGACAGAAAGACATCGTATCAATACAGTCAATAGAATTCCTATGACTCACGGTCACGATTTTGATCGTGACCAAAAATCTTTGGTCACGCCAACGTCTAATTATTACGCAAATCGTCACGGCAATTTTCTACAGTCATCGTTTTCGATTGGTGTAAACGGGTACCGTAAATAGCTGCTGTTTTCCATCGTACTTGATTGATATACTACTGTGTACGACCAAGCATGATTGACCTGGCAGTTTTGTTGATCTGAAAACTATTGTTATTAAAACTTATTCGTTATATTACGTTTCAAAATATCATTGTTGACAACAAATAATAATATAATTCTCAAACATCTGTAGTCCGTAAAATGTAAAATGACATTTGAGATATGTTTTCATCAATCAAAGCTTAAAATGCATACAATTTTTCTAGAAGTGCTAATGTAAGTGTTAAGACTACAGATAGATGGAAAGAGTATGGCAATTTCTTTTTAGATTGGAGCTAATAAAATATTTACATATATATATATCTACTTCTGAGATTTACACTCTCTTCCTATTTTATATTTCCAATTGAAGTTGTCTTATAACGGATTATCAAGCATAGAATCAATTGCAGAATACATTATCTATCTGATAAAGAACTATGAAACATATGCTGATCCTATTTATTGATAGATTGAAGACAATAAACAATCAATAATTTGATTGTCATCTACATGCAAGAACCATTTGATAATCATTCGATAATTATTCTTCATTGTGATAGAAAGCGAAAAAAAAAATAATGCACTCGTCAGTGCCTTTACTTGAGTTTGATAAACAAGGTGATGTTCATTTAATTCAATCAAGTAAGATTACTCTTCTCTAAATAGATATGTCAAAAAAATCAATGATTTATATTTCAGAAGATAATAAATCTCCTTTACATTGTCAATGTTTATTTGCTCGTTATATATTACATCAAATAAGTTTAATAGTTTTTGTTTCGATTTATCTTATATTTGGAGGTCTATTTTTTGCATTTATTGAATCTGAATATTATTTAAAAAAAGATGATGAACGAAAAGAAATAATTAGTGAAACATATGAAAATGTTCGTTCATTAGCTATTCATTTATTAAATGAACAATTGAATGAAAATTTTGAAAATGCGTATCAACAATGGAGATGGGACAATGAAAAACTATCAAATTATATTTATTTAAATAGTGAACGGGCTAATATATTGGATAATCAAACAGAATTCGAATTAGAAAATTTATCATTACGCTTAGCTATGCGACAAGTTGCTGTAGAGAAATTTGTTTATAAATGGACATATTCAACAGCAATACTATATGCAGCAACATTAGTAACAACAATTGGTTATGGAAATATTTCACCTAAAACAGCATTGGGAAAAATTTCTACAGTTATTTGTAAAATTATATTTTAAATTATTTAGAAATTTTTTTTTAATCATTGTTGTTTTTTTTATTAGATGCTTTAATTGGTATCCTTTTAGTTGTTTCATGGCTAAAATTAGTAGGGAACTCGTTAGCATTATTAGTAACACAATATTATCAACGCTTAAGTCGATGCTTTCGACGACATTTGAAAGGAAACAAAATATTACTACGAGAAAAAGTAGGTTTCACAAAAGCTGCTAGACATTGTAGGAATAATTTATATGATTTATTATTATTGAGTTGCTCTTTAAAATGTAATATAGAAGATAATAACAATTGATTGTCAATATTTTATCAAAAAATGTTGACAACATAGATATATTTATACACTTTTTCATTATTGATTGTTTATCATTGTAATTCAGTATTAAAATATTTACTGAAAACTGATTCATCGTTGTAAAATATTTTTCAAAAATACAATTTATACTATGCATAAAATTCTAAGAAGTATTTTTATAGATATATTTAGATGACAAAGTGCCTTTTTGGGTGCCAATAACTCTTTTAATTCTTTATCTTTTGGCTGGTTCTCTTCTGTTTGCTACATGGGAAGGATGGTCATATATTGATAGTGCTTATTTTTCATTTATTACATTTACTACAATTGGTTTTGGCGACTTGGTACCAGGTGAAACTACAATTAGTCATCGAAATGGCCGATCACTTATCTGTGCTATGTATTTACTATTTGGAGTTATGCTCACAGCTTTGAGTTTCAAATTAATTCAAGAAGACATTGATCGAATTAAATTACGACTTCTTCAACGCCTCGGCTTTGAGCATGTGCATCTACCATCAATAAAACGATGACGAGTTATGGCCTACTTTCTTCTTCTCTTGGTCCGCCTTCATTTAGACAGAACAGACGAGATTTTCTTTTTCCTTTTTTTTTCTTTTCTATTCTCTTTCGCTTATATGTAGCGACGTAGTGATTGCGTAGTCAGTTATGAAGGGGAAAATAAATAAATGAAATATCATATACGACCCAAAAAAAGATTGGAGTAGCTAACGAAAGAACGAGAGAAAACGCATATAGAATAAAACGTGAACAAAATGAAAGATTTGTTTTTTCTTTTTCTGTATATTCTTTAGCAGTTCTTTTCCTAACCACGTAATTCTAATATATTAATCATCAGAATTATATTTTCATGTTTTTTTAAAGTATATATAAATAATAAATTGTTAAAGTTCTATTTTGTTAGAAATAATGACAACAACAACAAATGATAATGGTAATAAAGATTCGACAAATGTTATACTGTTTGATCGTGATTGGAAATATATTCATTTTACAAACTCATCATCAAAAGAATTTTTTTCAATGAATTATGATGATCATCAATGGAAAACAATTAATCTACCACATTATCAAGTTATATATGATTCATTGATATATTGGTATCGTAAAAAATTTGAATGGAAACATAAACCAGATTATCAACAACATATTTATTTAAATTTTTACTCAAATGAAGATGAAGATCATCAACAAATACCTTCAATAATAATATGGCTAAATGAAACACTGATCTATTCGGGTAGTCTTCCAAAATCAATTCAATTAACAAAATATTTACGAATTAATTCAGATAATATTCTTGCTATTTGTTCAGCAGAAGGTTATACACTTTCATTACATACACGAATACTTATACCTCGTGTTTGTTTTGGTAGTATAAAATATGATGATTTTAATGAAAATAGATCAAGAAAACGACTTCAAAAACTTGATTATACAGCTAGTTTTGATGACTCAGATGGACTTATTGATGTTTGTATTGATTCATTTGATAAGATGAAAAAAGCAGTTCAACATGAAAAAGTTGATATAGATGAAGATTACGAATGGGTGAATGTAGTTGGTACTGAACAACCTGAAACTGAAACAATAGTAGAAACTGGTCCAATACCTCGTCTTGCTATTTTAATGCTTATTGTTGGTACACGTGGTGATGTTCAACCATTTATTGCTCTTGCTAAAGCACTTCTTGCATATGGTCATCGAGTTCGTCTTGCAACACATGAAATATTTCGAAAATTTGTTCGTGAAAATGGCATTGAATTTTATCCATTAGCAGGTGATCCAGCTGATCTTATGTCATTTATGGTTAAAAATGCTGGTATTGTACCATCAGTTAGTAGTATTGTAGCTGGTGATATTGCTAAAAGTCGTCGTGTTATGGCCGAAATTCTTGCATCAACATGGAAAGCATGTATATTAGATGATGATGAAACAAATGTACCATTTGTTGCTGAAGCTATTATTGCAAATCCACCATCATATGGTCATATTCATTGTGCACAAAAATTACAAATACCTTTACATATGATATTTACAATGCCATGGTCACCGACAAGTGCTTTTCCACATCCATTTGTTAAAGTTGATCATGATCTTGGATCGACGGAAAAAAGAAACCTGTTATCATATAGTGTCGTTGAAATGTTGGTAAGTGTGTGTTTAATTAAAAAAATGTAGGTTTTTTTAAAATTTTCCCATATCAATAGACATGGTCTGGTATGCATGATCTTATTAATGAATTTCGTAAGGAAAGTCTTGGTTTATCTCCGTTACATACTCGTCAAGCTGTTCGTTTAATGATAGACGAGCATGTACCACATACGTATTGCTGGTCACCTTCACTTGTTCCTAAACCAGCTGATTGGCCTTCACATATTGATATTTCTGGATTTTTCTTTCTTGATCTTGCAACAAATTATAAACCACCGGAAGATCTTGTTCGATTTCTTGAATCAGGTAATCAACCAATTTATATTGGTTTTGGTTCAATTACTGGTCATGATCCTCAAAGAATACTGCAAATCGTATTAAAAGCTTTACAAGCTACTGGATATCGAGCTATATTATCTGGATTAGCTACAGACACCGATAAACTACCTCATAATGTATATCGAATTGGTAATTGTCCACATGATTGGCTTTTCAAACATGGTAAGCCTTTTTTTAATATTTTGTTTAATTTAGAAAAAAACTGTTGTCTTATTCTAGTGGCAGCTGTATGTCATCATGGTGGTGCAGGAACAACTGCAGCTGGTCTTCGTGCTGGAAAACCTACTATTATAGTACCATTTTTTGGTGATCAATTCTTTTGGGGATCAATGATTAGTAAAAGTGGTGCTGGTCCAACACCAGTTCCTGGTAAACATTTAAATATTAATGATTTAGCTGAAGCATTTCGAATTGCACATGAACCAGATAAACGTGAAGCTGCTCATAAATTAAGTGTTGCATTTCAACATGAAAATGGTTGTGAAGCTGCTGTTCGATCATTTCATGCAAATTTACCATTAAGTAAAATGCGTAGTGATCTTGAACCATCACATTGTGCATATTTTCGATTAAATGATTATAATTTACAAATTTCAATTCCAGTTGCTCAAGTACTTATTGCTGCTGGAGCTATTGAAGAAGATCAATTAAAATCATATTTTACTCGTGATTGGAGTGCATCAATGTATGATGATCGTCGACATATACCAATACATGGTTTCATAAAGCATGGACGTAAAGCTTTTCATAGTTTATTTATTGATACGCCAAAAGGTTTAAGAAAAGCAGTAGGTTCAAAAAGTTTAACAACAGGTACACTTGATGGTACAGAATGTATTATTAAAGGTGTTGGAAAAAGTCTTGGACATGTATATGTCGGTTGTTTATCATTTTATGGTGAAATAACCGATGCACTTGAAGGTTTACCTGAATTATATGATCCATATTCGGATTCTGACAAACGTGAAAGACCACGTATAGAAGACTTTAATTCCGGTGCAAAAGCTGCTGAACTTTCTATATGGCATGGATTTAAAGATGGTGTTACTGGACTTGTAACGAAACCTCAAACAGGTTATAAAAGACATGGTTTTTTAGGTGGAGCAGCAGGTGCAGCTGCTGCCATACCAAATATTTTTATTAAACCTGCTGTTGGTACACTTGCTTCATTAACTTGGTTAGGTCGAGGTGTTTATGCTGAAACTAAAAATTTATCACGGCGTAAAGATGATAATTCAAATAATCACTTAACAGTATTACATTCACCTCGATATAAACGATCATCATCTGAATCAAGGATTATGGATGAAGATACGTCACCTGAAAATCGAGCATTATTGGAATCAGGTTTGAGCATTGATATATGTAAAAAAATATTAAATGAATTTGAACAAATTAAAAATCAGTATAATTCGAAAAACTCCTCTTCGACAAATAATAATGAAAATTCAAAACGAACAAAAAAGACAAAATCAAAGAAAACTCTCCAGCGTGAACGTAGTCATTCAGCTTCACCTTATTAAAGCAATCTTGTTTTTTTTTTGTCTGTTGTATATTAATGGGTAGAAAACCCTTGATCGTTGTTGTTTTGTACTGTATTTCATCTAACCTATTGTACAGATAAAAAATAATTTATATTTTGAAATCTCACATATGTATACATCTATAATGCTTTAACATGTGTAACATTTATTCTTAAATACAGATCATTTCTTCAAATTTTTAGTATTCATTTTTGCTTTACTTTCGATAGCAGAGTCTCGAGAAAGAATTCAACTGAATTAGAATGTAAATCTGGCATTCCCTTAAATTCTGCTTTCAATAGATTAGAAAATAGAGCATCAAGTTCTACAACTTTTTCTGGGTATTTGTTTATGTTTTTGATTAACTATAGTAACAAAATTCTTTGCTTTTATAAACTTCATACGAAAACTAATGCTGTAGATCGATGTAGATTTTTATGGTCTATAAAATGACATAAAGATTATGCTTATCAATTAGTTTATGCAAGGTTACAAAGGTACAGTTCTCATATCACCGTGACAAATTTTGATAGTTTTGTAGAGTAGTATTGTATTTAAAATTCAAATTGAAACGAGGAGTCTTTATGATTAAAAACTGAATAGGCTCACATTCTATCATGCTATATCATTCTCGGAAAAAATCTATTTTCTTCTAAGGCTCATTCTTATCAAAACACTAGAGAAGTGATCGTTTTAGGAACACTATAAAAGTTGATGTCGACCAGTTTCCTATTAAACCGTCATCAAATTTCAATTTCAAAGAAAAATAAATACGATATTCAGAGTCAGTAGAAAGAAATACGTTATGTCATATACATTTTAGCAAAAGCAATTTATAACCATAAATGCACGTCCAGGGTAGACATCTGCGTGACCAATAATTTTTGGTCACGGTCACGATGAGTTTGGTCATGGCCACGACTGTGACCGTGAGTTACGGCGGTTATGCCGATGTCTAACCCTTAACCATTCTTCTTGTTTTGGTCGGAACAAACTAAAGACTAATAAGCTTAGATGGAAAAAAATACTCAAATGAACATCCGTCCCGTTTTTTTGGTTAGAACAACTTCATAATCTCATCTAAATTTCAATTGAGAATGCCGACGAACTCTATAAATTCTTAAACTTAACTATGTTTCAATTAAATTATAATCATTAACTTAAGAACAACATATCAGGCCAGTTTTTTGTTTTCATCTTTTCCCGAATTTTTAATTTGTAAATCGTTCAAAAAGTTCTGTTTAATTTTGCCGAAGTCTCAACTTTACCTGACATATATATATATGAGTGATTCTACTGTCTATTGTACCGTTTTTTTTGAAAATATGGTCGAAAAAAAAAGTGAATGAGTGCACTTAAAAGTATTATCAGCGAATAGAACACACTTCAAACTATAAGAAAAAATGGTTTTGCAAACTACCAC